TAAAGAATATGTTTTCAACACACATAGCAGCTCTCCTATCTGAGCGTCTTAGTTCAGATTTACAGATGTCGCTATAATGAACGTTAACTAGTCTATCTTTATTTTCCGGCCGACCTTGACCAAGGAATATACCAGGATACGCTAATTCTTCAGAATATTGATCTCTGAATATACTTAGGGGTTTGGTTCCTTCTCCTGGTGCAACATTTAATATATGTTGAGGCTCACTGCCTTCAACAAATTCTGTGTTCGTCAACATGGTGTCAGTAACACCAGCAGGTATTTCTGCCTCATCTTCAGTCCACTGATCATCACTATCAGTGACATCACTTCCACTAATATTACTTTGCTTATTGCAGCTACTGGTGTTTTGTATTTCTTCTGATTGTTCATTTTGATTTTCAGGATTAGTTTCACCTAATAAACTGTTTACTCCCCAGTCTTGATTTACAGTTATTCCTTCCTGTTTGTAGAGAGTGCTGTTATTAACTAGCCAATTGGCTGCTTGAACAACTATGTGGCCTTATATTGAGAGACAATGCTGAGCTTTTGTATTGCAATTTTCTCTTTAAATTGACTTTAATTGTACCAGCATCATTGGGTAACCTTGGTAAGATATTGACAGTATCAGTTACTTCTGCTGGGACATTTACAACATTTCCATGTATTTTGAATTGCCTTCCTCTTGGAGCTTGCATTAATTTTTGAAATGCAAGTCTTGGAGCTACAAGCCTACATTCCAGTTCATTGAGGTCAAAAAATTCAGGTTTTATTGGAAAACTCATTCCATTCAATATGGCAAAGGGTGGAACTTTATTCTTTGCTAAGTAATTATGACAAGTTCTACATAGCCACTCTTTATTGTTGACACTTTTTGTTTTTAAAAGATATTTTTCAGCAGCAGGGTTTGATTTTCTTATTTTAGTAGCTGGGTAAACACTGTGTTTATACCACAGCTGATCACAACAACTACAAATATATAAGTGGCCCTGTGACACAATGTCATGAAACCTCATTATTAAGGCAGCCATGTTTTGTATTTTTTCGTTTTTTTCTTTTTGACTTTCAGCATTATTATTTTCTTTAGTGGTTGAGGTTTGCTTCTTGTTGTTACACTTATACTTTTGATTCATTTTAGTAGCCCTTTTGTTATTTCTGTAATGTTTCATGTAAGAAGTCCAGTTTTTTTTCTGCTCCTGTGTCTTGGATTTGCATTTATTATTTCCACTACTGTTAGTGCTTATTCTTAAATTGTTTACATCAGAATTGTGTTTTCTTTTTCGACTTCCATTATTTACTAGTACAGCATTTGTATTCTCTTTAGTGGGTGAACTTTGTTTATCACTGTTACATTCATAGCTTTGATTCATTTTACCAGCCCTTCTGTTATTTCTGTAATAATTCATGTAAGAATGCCATTTATTTTTTTGCTCATGAGTTTTGGATCTGCATTCATGGTTTTCACTGTTCTTAGTACTTATCCTAACATCGTTCAGATGGGAATAATTGTGTTTTCTTTTTCGACTACCATTATTTACAAATACAGCATTTGTATTCTCTTTAGTGGGTGAACTTTGTTTATCACTGTTACGTTCACAGCTTTGATTCTTTTTACCAGCCCTTCTGTTATTTCTGTAATAATTCATGTAAGAATTCCATTTGCTTTTTTTTTCATTGCTCTTAGTGGTTATTCTAACATCATTCAGATTGGAATAATTATTGTGTTTTCTTTTTCCAGTACTATTGTGTACTTGTTCAGGAAGAACATTTTGTTCTGTAAAATTGAAATCACTATTGTGACTTCTGTAAGGGTGCTCATTTCCTGAGTAAGAGCTTTTTGGTATTGTTGATACATAATGCACTTCGTTTACATGACCTATATATATTGTTCTTGGTTTCTGTGATGATGAATGGCATGGCTCTATTAAAGTTGCCTGTCCAAAATTTATGTGAGATTCTACAATATAAATTTGTATATTAAGTGATTCTGCAACTGCTTGTACAATTAATGCATCACACCATGTACCTTGCATTGACATATTTGTCAAGTAACCATTCCATGAGTTCTGAGTGTTGCTTTCAATGAAACGTTCAGGGTTATCCCTGAGGTATTGGACAGCAGCTTGTCTGATGTGAAAGTGATGACTGGGATTACTATACAATTGATGTGATACGGCTTTAAAAAAGCAGTCACCTGCACCACCCACATCTAAAGCTATCAATCCTAACTGTCCTAATCGAAAGTTAAGCAATGTTGAGGAATCCACTGACAAATTGGTCTGATTGTTCACATTCTGTTCGGGACCTGGATTTAATTCAACGTCACCTGATCTCAAAAGATTCATCCTTGATACGCAATATGTTTTAGCCGGGCAAGTTGATTTTTTAATTTTACCTGAACAACAGCTACTAGTTTGTTTTCTTTTTTTTGACTTTTTTGTTGCCAGTCTTTTAAAATTGACTAAGGAAGTAATAAAAGCGTTGCATTTTTGTAAATACCGTATATACCACAATTTATAGTGAGTAACCAAGTCATACAATCTTGAAGATTTAGGGGTACATTTCTTAAAAATAAACTTTAGCTTGCTTCTAGCTTTTCTCTTTTTCATATAATTTAGGACCTTTTTCACAGGTATTCTAGATGGCTCTCGGTCTCTATGTCGTTTTACTTGTTTAACGAACTTGGAATTTTTCCGAGGGGAATGTTTGTGGAATTCTTTCGATGGCGGTACATCAACAATGGAAGCTCCCACAACAAATCTTACATCTGTTTTTAAAGATCTGTTAGAAACTATCCTTAGATAACAAATATCATGAATTGTACTTCTACACTTCCCTTGTAGGTTAAAAATTGCAACAGCTTTCGCAAATGTCTGGCCAGTGAAAGGTATTTTCACTTTAAGGGCGATTTCATTTCCCAAACAGCGGGTTAAACAGGGCATATTTCCCTCAGTGGGCTTTATAATCCCCAAAAGGGGCTCAATAATTCCCGTAATGGGCTTTTCTCTCCCCAAATGGGGCTCATTTATTCCCCGAAGGGACTTTCTTTTCCCCAAATGGGGCTCATAAAGCTTATTTTGTGTCCAAGGCACTCGCAATATCGCCGAGTGGTGATGCTGTTGGCGCCAAGAAAGCTTCCATCGATCTACAACTTCAAAGCATCTTTCAAAACCTTTCACACGGCCGGACAAACAAGTAGTGCGAATGCTGTGGCAAATGGACAAAATACCCTTTAAGAAATCCATCACAAAGATGAAAAACGAAAAGATCACTTACCTAGCAAGCAACAAACACTGCAATAAGCTCACGTGAAATATACAACAAGATGGCGCACCTCTTCCTTCGAAAGCTGAACGGAAGCACATGGTTGTTGACGAAGTTGACGTTTCCTTTCTCGTATTTGATTGGTTCCGAGTCTTTCCGGAAATTAGTTGTGTGCCACGAGCTGTTGGCGTTGTCCATTTCTCAAATCCGATTGGTTCCAATATTCCCCAGAGGAACGAATTTAACCCGAAAGTATTACACCCGAAAGTACTACAGGCTACCGAAAGTATTACACTTTGAGAATACTTCATGTAACATGTCACGAAATGGAATCCACGGTGAAACGTCATGAGAAAATCCGCGATTTTATCTTATATGAAATTAGTTGTGTGCCACGAGCTGTTGGCGTTGTCCATTTCTCAAATCCGATTGGTTCCAATATTCCCCAGAGGAACGAATTTAACCCGAAAGTATTACACCCGAAAGTATTACAGGCTACCGAAAGTATTACACTTTGAGAATACTTCATGTAACATGTCACGAAATGGAATCCACGGTGAAACGTCATGAGAAAATCCGCGATTTTATCTTATATGAAGTAGTGGTCGCGCGTTTTACAGCTTATCATTGTGTCTGCATGCAAATGCAGCAGACACAAAAACAACGCAACTTAAAACACGTGTCCTAACTTAGACTAGGCATGCTATTTTAAAGCACAGTCCTTTCTGTTTCATGTTAGGTACAGTTAAAGTATAGTCTTTAGGTGACAAAGTCTTTCAAATACTCTGGACGTTTTTGATCACGCCTTGGTCTGGTCGCGGCTGCTGGCATAGGTTGTTTGCTCTGGTCCGCTTTGTCACTGGTGTTGGTTTTAGCTGCTTCCTTTGCGCTGCTTTCGTTAGTCTCCTCCTGGACTAAGTGAGGTTTGGCATTCAGTAGAATCTTCTCTCTCCAATCCTCTTGGTTCTTTTGTTCTTCCTGGTCTTCATTTTCTTCGCTGGTGTTTTCCTGGATCAGTGAGTTAGCAATCTTGAACTGGCTTGCGTCACGGTACACTTTGCGTCCATCTGTGATCCTTTTTGCTGCAATGCTTGATCCGTCTATTCGAGTTACTCTGTAGAATGCTGGTTCAAATGCGGTAGACCATTTGTTTCTCTTTTTCTGTTTCAACAGGACATGATCTCCGACTAAGAAATTGTGCTCTTTGGTGTTCCTGTTCTCGGCATTCTGTTTGAACTATATATTTGTATTTCTCATCCCGCTTATTGATGGCTGTGTCACGGAGATTCTCATTGCACTCCCTTGCTTGGTGATCTAGTTTGGTTCTGATCTGTCTGTTCATTAGGGCTTCATATGGTGGCACGCCAGTAGCAGGATGCGGTGTTGAGCGATAGCCTGTTAGCATCTCTTGAACAGCTACACTGCTTTTTCCCCCATTGAGACGAGTGGTCCGCTCAGTCTTATTCAGTAGTTTCATGAAGCTTTCCGCCTCTCTGTTAGCACGTGCGTGTTCTGGGGTAACTCGGTGATGGTGGAATCCCTCTGTTTTGGCAAACTCGGCAAATTCTCTGGAGTTAATTGGTGGTCCATTATCGCTTTGTAGCTGTCTTGGAGTCCCATGAGTGGCAAACATGGTTTTGAGCTTTTCCATGGTCGGCTGGAATGCTGTCGAGTGAGTCTTCATGACTTCAGGGTATCTTGTTCTCTTGTCAATGGCCACTAGGTTGTAATGACCGTCAGGATAGGGTCCGCTGAAGTCTACAGATATGACATCCCAGGGTTTCTTTGGTATGTCTTTGACTTTGATGGGTTCCTGTCTGTGCTGCTTTGTGGTTACCTGACATTCGTAACATTGACCGATGATCTGCTCTACCATATTGTTCATGGTTGGAAACCAATACTTTGCTCTTAACATCTGCTTTGTTTTTGTCATTCCCAGGTCTCCCAGGTGATGTGCTGCCTTGATGACCTTTCTCTGTAGGCTTGTTGGGACAATGATCTGATTCATCCTGAAGATTAGGTCATTGACTACGTACAACTAATTTTGTACACTATAAAATTGAATAATTAAACGAGACTTACCTGTAAGTTGAAGTTTGATTGAGATTCTACCGTAGCATTTGCAGAAATGAAGAGATCACATGAGATAGCAAGTCACATGACTTCGAGCTCAGTCTTGAAAGCGTTTTTTTTTTTTTTTTTTTGAGGAGTCCTGTAGACCACCCCATAGATGAATAGTAAATATATGGTGTATGCAACACCATAGGATGATATGAACAGGGGGAGGGGAAGGGAGGGATGTGATCTCTTCATTTCTGCAAATGCTACGGTAGAATCTCAATCAAACTTCAACTTACAGGTAAGTCTCGTTTAATTATTCAATTCTACCTCGCATTTGCATACATTCTGAGATCACATGAGATTTTAGAGCTCTATAGGGCTCTCAAAAAAATAAAGAATACACATTCCAGATAAGGAAACGTAAGCATGGCATTTATTACCAAGGCACTAATTTTTTCCCAGTACACTGTTGGCAAAGGAACTATCATTTAACAGTGGTTTGTTATAATAAACAGCAAACACAGAGCTTGAACACCAGCCAGCTGTGGTCATAATTTCATCTAGAGGAACATCAGCTGACTTTGCAGCAGAAGTGGCTGCACTTCTGGTGGAGTGAGGCTTAAAAACAGAAGTATTAATTCCAGCGTCAAGCATAACTTGTTTGAGCCACCTAGAAATAGTGTCTTTAGAAGCAGGCCCATGAGGCTTGCAGTGGCAAATCAGGAGTTGAGAACATGAACCCCTTAAGTTAGAAGTTCTAATAAGATACTCTTGTAACAATGTAAAAACGCAAAGAGTTTTATCATGGTCATATTTCTTCAACACAACAGGTGGCAGGTGTCTTTGCCGGCCACCATGAGCACTTGTTTGCTTTTGAATGGAAGTAATTTGAAAAACATATTCTCCATCTTTAGATTGCATGTCATTGATTGACAGCAACTTAAGAGTCTGTGTTCGTTGTGCAGTAACTAAGGCCAAAATCATAGTCAGTTTCAAAGTCAATTGCTTCAGAGACATTTCCTTGGTGTCAGGATAGCCCTTGAGGTGGCTGAGAACAATTTGGGGGTTCCATGTTTCCACATATCTGGGGAAAGTTGGTTTCCTGTTGAAAGCACCCGACATAAAACGTGAAATAATAGGGTGTTCTCCTACTTTGAAGCCATCAATATTGATGAAGGAGGAAAGAGCACTTCTAGTGGTCCCTAGAGCACTGTAGCTAAGCTTTTTGGACTGAAGAGTTAGAAAGTTCAACAGTTGTGGTAATGAAGGTGTTGTAATGCTGATCTTCTGTTCTTTACAGTAATTTATCCAAGCTGATATGCTGGATCTGTAATTCTTCTGGGTACTTTTTCTCCAAGAATCAATAATAATGTTCAAAGTTTCACCAGTTATTCCTTGCAGCTGGAGGGATTTCCTGACACAAGACAGCCAATCAGTCGGAGCTTGGGGTAGAGGGGATGGACGTTCTTGACATCGTGGGGAAGGGTCAGGGTTGACTTCTGCAGCTTTATTCGGTGTAGAGGCGCCACTAGCATTGACATTACTCGTGGGTACCAAAACTGTGTTGGCCAGTCGGGGAGAACTAGGATTGCTGTTGTCTCGGAGAATATTATCTTCTGAAGTACTTTCCCAATAACATTGAAAGGTGGGAAGCAGTAAACAAGTTTACACACAGACCAGTCAAGTGTAAAGGCATCAATAAAATGAGCACATGGGTCAGGTTTCCATGCTGCGTAGCAGGGCAGTTTTGCATTCAACTGTGATGCAAAAAGATCAATCTCAGGATTACCCCATTTAGTAATTAAGCTGTTATAAACATGAGTGTCTAATGACCATTCCGTGTCATCATGAAATTGTCTACTTGCTAGGTCAGCTTCAACATTAAGTTTTCCAGGTAAATGGGTGACAGCTAAGGATATGCCCCTGTCTTTGCACCACATAAGAGTTTCTCTTGCAATCTCATTACAGTCCCGAGAGTGAGTGCCACCCATATTTCTCAAGTAGGAAACCGCAGTTTGGTTATCAGACAATACTTTGATGTTACAGTTTGTTAAGTCTGAGCACAAGGACTGAAGGCCAAACAGGACTGCTTTTATCTCCAAATAGTTTATGTGGCACATACTCTCACTGTGGGACCATCGCCCATTTGCGGCAAGGGAAGAATTTTCAATAACACTTCCCCATCCTTCTAGAGAGCTATCACATTTAAGGGTTAATTTGTATTTCATAGGCCGGACAGGGCATGGATCATTGTCAATATTTGAAAGCCACCAAGACATGTCTTTCTTAGCTATATCAGAGATGAGCATTCTGTCATCTAAGTTCCACCCATTCGTCTTTAAAGCATCAGTTTTGTCATTTTCAAGAGCACGGTAATACAGTGGGCCATATTTGACTCCAGGAAAACATGACACCATTTGCCCAACTACAGATGCAACCTCTCTAATAAGAGGCTGCTCCGTTCTGAGGAGCTGTAAAATGGCTGATTTCGCTTTATCAGCCTTGTCTGATTTCATAGAGACTGTCATCACAACCGAGTCTAAAATGAAACCCAGGAAATTGACTCTCTGGGATGGGACAAGTTGGGATTTATCAGAATGGATAGTGAATCCCAGAGACTGCAACAATGTAATAGCCCTTTGTATAAATATGACCAATGTCTGAGGATCATCGGCAAAAAGTATAATGTCATCAATGTAAATTACTAGAAGCACCCCATCCTCCCTTAATTTGGCAAGGGCAGGTTTTAACAATTTGGTAAAAATTCTGGGTGCACTAGAGAGGCCATTAGGAAGGCAAACAAACTCATAAAGTTGGCCTTCGTGCTCGAAACGAAGGTATTTTCTGTCCTCAGTCCTAATAGGAACAGAGTAGTATGCGTCTTTTAGGTCTAAGACAGCCATCCAACAATTAGGCTTCATAAGTTGAAGTGCGTTAGGCAGTGAATCCATCTTGAAGTGATGGTACTCAATATGCTCATTTAGCTTTTTCAAGTTCAAAATAAGACGGTGAGACCCATCTTTTTTGGGCCTGGTGAAAATTGTTGAGATAAATTCACCAGGAACATGAGTAGCTTTCCTAATGACCCCTTTAGTTAAAAGCTTGTTAATTTCAGTAGTAGCAATATCTGTCTCTTTACAAGAAAGTTTGACAGCTCTAGGGGTGAGCACCTGGCAAGGAGGGTTGCAAAACTCTAGTTGGTAACCCTTAACGATGCGTAAAATGTAGGGGTCAGACGTGAGCGTCTGCCAAGCACTGAAATGCTTAGCTATGTTTCCAGCAATATATACATTGGTACAAAGAGGCGAACATATACTTACTGTGCTAGTAGCTGCCAGCAAGTGTTCTATTGTTTATATTGTCTATCTATTGTTTCGGCCGCGACGAAAATTAGATACGTCATAGCTACTTAATTAGGTTAATCATATAACATTACTGTGCTAGGCCATCGGGTAGCTGTGGTTCAGCAATAACCTGTAAACTGTTTGTAATCTATTGGCTTCAATAAACAATAGAAAGTCCTTTGAAACGGTTGTCTTGTCCGAGGAAACAGGTTGGCATTGTTCTTGGATTTCCAAGGTTTGAAGTTGTTGCCTCTCCAGTTTTTTGACTGCTTATAGCCATTATAGCTGTTATTGCCAGGTCTTCTTGGAGAAGGGCGATGCCCTTTATAATAAGGGGTGATCTTGGCCCCGATTTTGTTTTGATCGCCAATATCTTTCAAATGCTTTTGTAGATCATCTCCAAAGAGAAAATCTGTAAATGGCAATTGGGAGGAGCAGAGAGCGGAGTATTCCCTCCCAATATCTGGTCTCAGTAGAAGACGGCGCTGCATGTTTATTTCATAAGAGGCATGAGTGAGGAGGGACATGGCCTCCAGCCCCTGTTTCTTTAGCTCTTGGCATTCATCAGCATTAAGCGATTTGCCTGCATAAGCTTGTCCGTGATTCGGACAACTGGCAGGATGCCTTTTGTGAGGGCTTGTTGTATTTTGAAAAATTGTAAATCCCTCTTCTTAGTTGGCTCTCTCAGTCGACGCCAAATGCCAGGGTTTACCTTGGGAGGCTTGGCTGTAGTACAATTAGCCGGTCTCTCCTGCCTCTCAAGCCGGTCTTTGAGATTTTTCTCGCTTAGTTTGCAGCGGAACATTTTGTCAACTAGCTTGGCTAGTTTCTCATTTTCGAGGCTTTCGCCCACGATATCGTCAGACTCGTATTCTTTTACGAGTTCCGAGAGGAAATCATCCTCATCACCACTACGAGTGGTGTTTGGCTCTGACTCATCACTGTTGTTGTTTAACACAGAGTCATAGAGTTTCTCGCAGTCAGTTGACTGGTCGGAGGCGCTCGTGGAGCTTCTCGCCTCGCCATCTTTGTTTTTTGCTTTTTTGGCGGGAACAGCGTTTGGAGATTTGCTCGCCGGCCGTTTTCCTTTGTCTTTTGTCTCTCCCCGCGGCGAATTGATGAGTTCTGGCAGGCTTTTCGTCAGGCCGAGAATTGCGTGGGTGAGTTGGCTGATTTCTTCCGAGGAAGCGGCTGTTTTGTCCTTGAGTTGTCGTGAAGCGTGTGCAGGCACTGCGTTGCGTTCGTCGGGTAGCGAATCCTTTTTTATCTGGTCTTCTTCGCCCTCGTCCTCAATTTCGTCGGCGAGGAGATCGTCCTCAATTTCGTCGGCGAGGAGATCGTCCTCAGATTGTTTTGACATCGCTAATATCTTCGGCTTGAGGCTCTGAACGAGAAATGGATGAAATTTCTGAAAATTTTGTGGGAGCGACTAGTGCTCCAAGCAACCTTGCCCAAAATCAAACTCGCACTGAGCTCGAAGTCACGTGACTTGCTATCTCATGTGATCTCAGAATGTATGCAAATGCGAGGTAGAATGGTGCAATGTCTGGGTCCTTCTTGTGTTGTTCCCAATCTCCAGTGAGTATTCTGATGGAAAGTTTCTGAAGCTGGGTGTCTTTGAGAGTTTCTTCCTTGATATGATCTACAACAACAGCATGTTCGGCTGTCACCATGTACTTGATCACTCTCTCTATGGTATCCTTTCCAGTTTCTGGCAAAGGGTGTCTCGACAGGAAGTCAAGTGGATCGGCTTCATCCTTTCCAGGTTCATAGATTAGCTCAAAGTCGACATCTTGCATTCCCATTCCCCATTTTTCTATTCTTGGTGGAAGTCGCATGGCTGCCTTGTTAAACAATGGAAGTAATGGTTTGTGAGCTGTGTTGATCTTGAATTTTGGCGCTCCCAGAAGGTAAATGCTGAATCTGTTCTTTGCCCAATGTATGGAGAGGGCATCTTTCTCTGTCTGACTGTATCTTTTCTCGGTGTCAGTCATGCTGCAGCTAATGAAGCGGACTGGCTGTAGGCCATTGCCTGTGTCCTGGAATAATCCGGCTGATAGTCCTTCATGGTAGCTGGCTTCAACTCTCACAACAATAGCTTTGGCTGGGTTGAAGTATGCCATTGTGCTTTCACTTGTTATGCTTGCTTTGAGCTTCTCAAATGCTTCATTCTCTTCTGCTCCCCATTTGAACTTCGTATCTTTGTGGGTCAGCTGTCTCAAAGGTGCGGTTAGTGATGCGCATTTGGGGATGAACTTTGATAAATACCCAGTCATGCCAAGAAAGCTTTGCACAGCTTCTTTCGATTCTGGTGGGCTGCTTTCCTTCACGGCTCTGACCTTCTCTGGGTTTGGTTTTAATCCGTTCTTCGTGAACTTGTGCCCATAGAACTCTATCTCTTCCACTCCGAATTGGCACTTCTCAGGGTTGAAAGTGACACCATAATCTGTTGCTCTCTGCAGAACGGCTTCCAATGTTTGTGTTCTTCTATGTCTTTCCCTCCTATCAGGATATCATTGCGCTGGTTGAGGCACCTTGGTATGTCTCCGAAAATTCGGTAGATAGCTTCATCAAAGAGATCTTGCGATGCTTTTCCTCCAAAGATTAGACGTTTTGGTCGCATGTTCCCCCATGGTGTGCTGAAGGTAGTGACTTTTCTGGATTCTGGATCGAGAAGCAGTTGGTGGTACCCCTGCTTCATGTCAAATTTGGAGAAGATGGTACAGTCGTGGAACTTGTACATAAAGTCCTCAACAACCGTTCCTTGGGTTATCCTGTGTCTCTCCATGAATTGGTTGGGTATCCTGAGGTCCACGCTGGCCCTAATCATGTGTGGTTCCAGGTCTTCCTTATCTACGCTGCTGAACTTTGGCTTTGGCTGAACTACTAATGGAGAGCACCATGTTACTGGTTCACCTTCAGGCACCTCTTCAAATATCTCCTCTTCTACACACTGTTCAAGCCATTTCTTTAAGGGATCTTGCAAATAATATGCGACTGGTCTTGGTTTCTGGGCTACAGGGGCAGCTTCTGGTCTCATGCTGAATTTAGCATAGAACTCTTTTCCATTCTTGATGTCTCGTATCTTCCCAATGCCCTTGAATACATCGCTGTATTGATCAGTGATTGCTTTGATTTCGGGATTGAGTATTACAGCTTGCTTGACACTCTTGATGTCTGGCAACTCTTCCTGGATTCTCAGGTCATTGGTCTCGGCGAAAGAGCCGTCTTCGCGGATCTGTAGCATACCTAGCTCTTTGAGGGTGTCTTTGCTGATGAGCGGTGGGGAATTGATTCTACCCCTGACCACAACAAATCTTGCGACTGCTCCGCAGGTCTGGTTCCTTACGGTCGCTGTGAATTCTCCTTTCACGGGAAGCTCACTTTGTAAGGTACTCAGCTTCACTCTGCTTGGATGAAGTGTTGGCTTTACACTTGATCGATTTGCCAATGCCTTGAATTGGTGTTCGTCCATAACATTCACCTCTGCACCACTGTCCGGCTCAACTCTAACATCAACATCTTCTATCTTCACTGACACAGTTCTGCTCTCGTTATCTGTTTTGATTTTCTTCACCTGCTTAAGATGACGTACAGCTTGGCAGAAAAATTCGTCATCAGAACTTGTTGAGTTATCAGCATCTTCTTCTGTGGTTAGCTTGACACGGTGCTTGTCCCTCGAGGTTTCTGGTGGTTTTCGACTGTGTTTTTCTTGCTGTTGGGAGGTCCTCTGAACTTGCATACTGAGCTGAAGTGGTTAAACTTCTGGCATTTCATACATTTCTTCCCATATGCTGGACAGTTTTTGCCTTCCTCGTGTGTGCCTGTTTGTCCACAGTATCCACATGGTTGCTTTTTCTTGTCTTTTCCATCATTCTTGGGCGGATGCCACTTTCCAGACTGTCTTCCGACCTTCTTCACATCTTGGGGAATTTTCATGTCGCTTATTTGAAGTGTTGTGTCTTCGATTTGTGCAGCTTCGGTGAGGAATTGTGTTAAATCCCATTTCTTGTTGATAGCCTTCTGGATTAGCGAACGATTCTGTGTTGTCTGGATGAGGTGTTCTAGGATTCGTTCATCGCAGTTTGCTTCAAATTCGCAGTCGTTGGCTTTCTCTCTTAAACGTGCAGCGTACGCGTTCGTTGTTTCGCCATGTGCTGGTCTCATTTTGAGGAATACATACATTGCGTGGTGTTTATTCTTCTTGGGTTTGAAGTAGTCGTTCAGCTTTTTCCTCAGCTTCTCATAGTCGTTACCGCCATCCGTTGGGTTCGGTAAGCTTTTCTCCAGATGAGCGATTTCCTTCCTGCCATAAATGATGAGTGCATCGTTCTTGTCGTGGGGTTCCGTAATCTTGAAATATCTGAATTCGCACTCGATTTCTTCGAGCCAGTCGTCCCATGCTTTACCTGTGCCGATTGGGTCATCTCCCGGGTTGAATGGGTGAGATTTGAGATTTCTCGTCGCTGTGATAACTTGTACTGGTGCTGTTGGCGCGGTGCCGCCGGTTGCTTCTTCGGTGTCGCGCATGTTTGTCGATCGATTGATTCAAGCGTTGACGTGTTTGTCTTGTTAGCCTCTCTCGCTGGGCTTCAAAACTCTCTGGCTTGGTTTCTCTAGCTTTCTTCTTTCTTCTTTGTGCTTAATCTAGTGTGGTATCCTCGTCGCCAGTGTAACAACCGCTAGTCTTCTCAGTATAAACAATGCTTTAATAGAACAAACTTCTCCGACTCGAGCTGACAATGTGGTAATGCAAAGTGTTGCTAATGCGCATGTGCGAACTGAACTATGTTGC